GTAAGCTCATTTTACCTACTAAAACAAACATTTATACCAATTTAGAAATTTATATCTCGAAAAATGCCCAAGATATAAAGTATTTCTTAAAGATCACAAACAGACCGACAAACAGTAAACCAGGCACTTTAGACCATACTTATATTGCATTTTATGTTTGTCTTAGCCCATGGAACAAGTCCACAAAATATGTCCAGACAATTTGGATTGGAAACACCCTTTGTGATATAGATTTCAAAGTATTCATTTGTTCAAATGTAAACAAACATTTTCTCCCAAAGAATAACATGGAAACTTTGAAAGCCATTGGGGCAGAGTCCTAGTGGAATTTCAAACATTTTTTGTTTGATGGCAAAACTACATGCCACAACAAATCCAATGACACCTAAAACATGGTCATCGGATGCATGACAGCTTCAAAACAATTATCACATAATTTCATTTTCACCTATTAAATATATAGATTCGTTATACACAAATATATATAGGTATACACAAATTGTTGAAAGCGGCTTCATGCCTACATTCAAAGTGAAAGGACGCCAAAGTAGTATGCCATGTAGTATTTTATTTCTATGAGTATTCCAAATTTGTACAACAATATGTTTAATATAGGTGATAATTTTATTTTACTACGTATTAACAAGTTTACGCAAAGAGCAAGCAAACAGCTAGTTAATAATAACTACATTAGTAGAGATGTATTTGTGATAAGTTAAGGATGTATTTTTAATAGCTAGTTAATAATAACTACATTAGTAGAGATGTATTTGTGATAAGTTAAGGATGTATTTTTAATAGAGTCAAACTACCACATAAATTATTCTGAATGGTACAAAGTTTCCTGTAATGTCTCGAGTTGTCAAGTTAGGCAGTGTGTACTGAAGATAAGTCAGGGTGTTAGAAGTTCTGCTCTGTAATAATAACTGTAGCTTGGAGTAAATGTAGTTATAAACCCCTCAGTGTAGTAAGGTGTAACTCTGAAGAAATTTTATTTCCTTTGTAGATAGACTTGAAATAAAATGTTTGAATAAAAATTTCATTGGTGGGTATGGGTAAAAGCCATTTTCGACTACTCTAAGGAATAAGCTCAAGTGAAAGGCAATGACATATAAAGGTGAAAACTTGAAAATGCATGAAGAAATAATTGCGACTCGTACAGAAATAAGTATTTTAAATTTGCATAATAGTTTTGAAAATAAATTAATAGCTTAAATTAGGCCAGGCCTACTCTTAAGGCTGGTTTTATGCACCGCGACAGTCGCGAGTCGCGCCACGTCTTGCGGCTGACAAAAATGTCACACGACAACGACACTTTTTTGTCGCGTTAACTCACATCCGGTGGTGGGGGAATTAAAGAAATCAGTCTGTTCTCAATCCAATGTTGTGTGTTGTGTTTTGATGTAGAAGTGATTATAAAGTTGTTTAAATATAGACCCTGTAGTGTTGTACACGTTAATGACAAACCCCCAGTTATTTAAACAACACATACAATTTACAGTTGGAATTGAGTCAACCCTCTTAAAAATGTCATTACATAATATAATGATGTAATTTATATTACAAATAAAGAGTAAAGAACTCATTTATATACTAATTAACATTAATCAATATAAATATATGGAGAATATACCACGTGGAGTATGAAAAATACTACTGTCGCGCCGCGACTGTCGCAGTGCATAAACGTGCCCATTTGATCCAATAGAACTTGAACCGCGCGCGACACATTTTTTGAAGCTGCGATTCTAAAACCTGTCGCGGGTATTTAGAGTCGCTCCGCGGCAGTTTGTCGCTGTCGCGGTGCATAAATGCTCCCATTTAACTCAATAGAACTTGAGTCGCGCCGCGACACGCGACTGTCGCGGTGCATAAAACCGGCCTAAGGATTATAAAATCTCCCAACTCCCATTATTAATCATGGCATGAACATTGTCTGTTTATAGAAACCCTTGCCGACAGACAACCGCCCACCCCGCTCGAGCGAACACCATTACCGCAACGATTAAACAGCCATTAGTCTCGGTGGTGTAGTGGATCGTGCACAGGGCTGTTAATACGAAGGTAACCGGTTCGAATCCCAGCGGAGGCACTAACTTTATGATTCGATTTTTTTCATCATCAGCAAGGCCCACCACCGCGCCGTGCAGAACGCATCATACCGTGCATAGCCGAACTGTTCGTGGGAAATTGTTATCTCTATCACTGTCGCTGTCAAAACGTGTCGTTTGTAGGTTAAATTTAAATTAATTTAACTGTCATAACCTAACCAAACTTGCTGATAATGAAAATTTCGAATTAAGGTTTACTAATAACAAAAATAGTTCTGTTCATAAAATAAAATTATAAATGTCTCAAAATCAATTATATATTTTTTTAATTATAAAATTAAACTATCATAACCTAACCGAACCAACCAAACTTGCCAAATGAAAAAAATCGAGTCAAAAAGTTGATGTCTCCAGTGGGTTTCGAACCGGGTACCTCAGAAAAATCAGCCACCGAAACATACTGCTGTTCAAGGTATCGTTGCGGTAATGGTGTTCGCTCGAGCAGTGGTGGGTGGTGGTGGGCGGTGGCGGTCTGTCGGCAAGGGTTCATTTCGCCCAGTCACCGCTAGGTGTCACCACCCAAAACCATAGCAGTTCGTCCAGTCACCGCTAGGTGTCACTAACACATATAAAACTAAATCCGTCAGGTTTATCTATTTATTTATATTATTAAGGTACAGAAACAAATTAACCATCATGTAAAAGAAATAATACCATTTATCGATTCAAGATAAAACAAAATATTGTGATTTTAAGCCGTGGTAGTTTACTATGAATCCTCTTTATCCGTTGACACTCGCAGTGATTTTTGAGTAGCTAGTATACGACTTGCCTATCTATCGCAATTATTCTTTCCTAGGTTAAGGTGACAATTCTCGTTCCCATCACGTTAACGTGAAAATATTGTTTTAAAAGTCGAGAGTCGTGTCTCTTGAGACCGATGATTGGCTTATAATAATCTAATCTTACTCCGACGAGTTCGTTATATATGGTTATATCTTCTTGGTCCATTTAACGAAGCCCTCTCGCTCGTAACCACCACCGCGCCGCCGTCCAAACACGCTACTGCTGTCGTCTGTCAGCAGCTGTGTTCGCGGCATATTGTTCATTGTTGTGGTTATGACAGTGTCAAACTCAAAACGTCTCGTTTAAGTGTCCCTAGTTTAGTGTGTCAGGCTATGAATAATGTCAGGAAATAAAATTGCAATAGCAGGCACATTTTTATTCTTCAAGTTAAAATTCTTGTATGTCACACTTAAGTTATTGTGTTATGCTAGTTAAATCCTTACTGAAATAAAAGTTTTTGAACTTGAGCACACACACAGATACCCCAGATATATTCATAGATACCAGTACCCACAAACATATCCCATGCATAGTAACTTTAAGGCAAATAAACAAAACTAAACTAGTGTACTTGTTGCTCGAAATCGAGCAATTGCCAAGTACGGTATTAATCAGATGTTATTTTAAAACTACAGTAATAACAGTCATAATTTTCGATGAGTTTAAAAGATCTCACTAAAAGCTTGTGTAACTAATTAAAATACTCACGCTATTTAATAGCGCTTTGAAATAATAAACACTTCTTGTAAAAATATTTTAGCATTTTTTTGACCCGGCTTATTTTTTAGTGGATTCTAGAAATGTTTCCCGACTCAAAACGGTTACCAGTAAACATTTCTTGCATGTATTTATTTGATCTGTCATTAGGTAGGTTTACTTTACCACTGTGACAACATGATGTGTAAATTCTTCATGTTTTTTTTTACTTCCAAAATAAGTTGCTTAGCACAAATGGCAAAAATGATTCATCTCTCCAAGTGATTGTGTACCTGGATTCCTTACTGTGAGACCAGTCCTCTCCTCTACTCTTCTCATTCGTATAATATTTTCTATTAATTGTCTCCTCCTCCTGTTTTCAATATTTCTCCCGTTGTATATTTGATTTTAATAGTAATTATGTATTTGTCATCTCTATGATACAGTATCAACTGTTAAAACACCCGCTTAGTGTCTTGTCTGTACAGATATAAATACATTTTAATTTTTATATAATCTTATATTCTATTATTTAATTTGCCAAATGTTTCCTATCATGCAAAAACCACTGGACCAAATTAGCAGAAATTTAGTAAAAAGACAAACTACAAACCCATGATTAGCAATAATGAAGGCTGCAACACTAAATACTCTCCACCACACAATTTTCTTTTGGGCCACATACTTTATTTTTACCCAGTTCTTGCTTTCCTGTCATTTCTCAACTGATCTCTGAATTGTTTTCTGTTTCCATACAAATTCCACTTAAGCTGAGTACTGTTGTGAACCTTCCATAAGGTCCCTTTGCATTTTCTTTTTACTGTGGGTTTTTGTTTCAACAAGGACCATTGCTTGTTTGTAACCATAAGTTGTTAAAGATTTCTTAGAGACATCTATTAATAACCACTACAAATTTTTGTTTTAACTTTTAGCCAATTTCCCTCCCATATAGGGGATAAGCTATTTAAAAATTTCTATGTTTTGAGTCTACATATTAATTAGTAAATAAAAGTGCCACTTTGCTAATGGGTACCCTGTTATAAAGCAGCTTCCTTTCGATGGAAAGGTTTGTGACATTCTCTATGACGCAAAGAGCTTAACTCTTTGACTACTCTAGCGAGTAGTTCACTGTCTGGGATGACACTACCCAGAAATGTTGGTGGTGCTTTATACTCACATTAAAATACACCTAAACAAACTGTGTCCCCTTCCTTTAAGAACTGTTATCAACGATAGAAATTTTTAAAAACAAACGTTAAATACAGGAATAGTGATAGATGTGTAATGTGTCTAAAAAATTGAGAATATCTATTGAGAGAACAAACTGTCACACATTTTATATAAGGGTAGAACAATATTTGATCCAAACAAAGCTTGGCTAAGAGGTAGTTTTAATAAACACACAGAAAAGTTTTAATAATTTATTATATCAACAAATATGCAACTCATCATCAGAGGGTACAGTGAAGAGTTCACATTTTACTTTAATTTAATAATAATTGTAATGGATAATAATATGAAAAGAAGGAAAAGGGCGATGGCACTCAAGTCGTAGATATTTACAGTATAATGTTATATATTTATAAATATAATCCATTAAAATTGTATGTCTGTACTTAATATGAAAACTACGACACATTTTGGAATAATACACAAAAGTTTATTTATACAAAATTATAAATAAATGTGACTTTTATATTAGAAGGCGAGAGTGGAACTGGAGACTGGAGGTGTCCAGTAATATACAGAGGAGACAATAGTATCTGGTATCATACAGTCCGACTATCAGCCACACGCTCTGGTGAAACAAGACGACTACGACAGGACGGAAAATAACGCCAAAGTAAAGCCGAAACAAGACAGAATTACACCACCAGCTCAAAAGAGTCAGAAATATTTTAGACGATTTTCAATCAAATAATACTTTTAGATCTTTTCACATATTTACGAATATATTTAATAATAAAAGGCTATAAAAATAATGATAATTATTCCTACAGTAGAACGAAGTAACGAACAGTTTCAACAAACGAGTGCCGGGGCACAAGATATATTTATATATAATATACACATAGTGGAGCGTTGCTAGCTATGGGAAATGTACACTTACCTTCTATTTACATAGGATTACCTTTTTTATTTTCCATTATAAATAAATAATCATAGTACCACAATGATATCCGTGAAGCTGTCCAATGTGGTCAAATAGACTTGATATGTCGAACAATTATGAGATCCTCTTTAAAAACAAGGAATAGGTTTTTGATACCTCAAAAAAACCAATTGAGTTTTAATAACGGTAAAAAAGACAACATTTCTTTGACAATCAAACTTTTCATGTGTTAGGAACAAAAAAACATTCACTATTTCAATAGAAACACAAAATGGTGGGGAACATTTCAATCAAGGAAAGGACCCACATCGCACAGCTTCAATGTAAACAATACAGTTAAAATTTCTAGATAATATTTGTTATGTATTACATAACCAAGCGTCATAATAGTTACGATTCTTCAATGTCTGTTTATTAGTAAAATCGTATATTATCAATATTGTTATAATATAATGAGATAGTTATAACAAGATTCAGAAAGTAGTGAGATATATAAGCTAGAGAAGGGGTGTTTAAGCGACGTCCATTTCAATGGGGATGAAATCACAATTGCAAGTCGATATTTACAGTCCAAAGCTTAACAACAACCTTCGCATACTGCGCTGATAAGTTGATCGATAAAAAACCTACCTTATCGATAAAAAATACCAACTAAACAGTAGTAACGGCAAACGCTATTATCGTAATAAATGAGAGAGTGCATGGAAGCGACAACAATACGTACAACACCAAGATGATCATGTAATTTTTGGGAAAAATACAGCTTCTCACAACAACATCAAAATCCAAAAGAATTGTAAAGAGTACATAAATGAGAAAATATGGATGTCTTTTGTGGACAATGTAGAAGGGGTGAATTGTGAAACGATCATATCTGTATCGGAAAATAAATGTTAACGAGTTGAAGTGGAAATGTGTGAGAGACTCAAGAGAGAGTAAGAGATAAAGAGAGAGAGAGAGAATGAGAGCATAAGAAGGCCCTAAGCTATTACTGCACTCTCACTATTGTACAATAATTAAGTAACTTGACCCATCGTAAAACACTAACAAGTGGTAAAAATATATAACACAAACTTGAAAAATATTAATAACAAACAGACCTTGTCTTTCGACGTATTGTTAAAACCTTCAATTCACGGACTTCTTGTGTAACGCAATCGGGGATATGGCAACCCTTGAACAAAAATGAACTGACAAACTACTCAACTACTTATAAACAACTTGTTATTTACAAAAATCTAAAATAAGTAACAAAACGTGAAGGACAAAACGTGGGAATAATCACATTTATAATTTAATCACAAATAATAACACACATTATACAATAGTATATACACAACCAAAAATCTTTTATATACAAGCAGAGTACGCCTCTTGACTTATCCGTACGGATTTGATTTCAAAAATTTGTACTGAGACAGATGATGAAAATAAAATTAACATTTAGAAATCGGTAAAAGTACAGAGGTTACATTTTTTACTCATTGACTAAACAATGTTACGTGTCAAAATTATCCAGTTGTTGTAAAGTGTTTTAACTGAATCAGTAATAAAACAAGGTAAAAACAGGTAAGTTTAAACAGTTTAAACAGTCTAAACATGCGAATGAATTTATGGTGTAATAGCATTCTGAGTAAACATGAGTATAAATACATTGTATACTTTAAACAGTACAAATTGCACAGTAAGATGTTAAGTAGACTTCAATAAATATAATTAACTTTAACTTATGCTAAAATAAAATATTAGAAACTTAACAATAAACAGATAAAAATTATATCAGCATTAAATTTTAAAGCGGCATCTTACATGCAAATTTATCGTTAAACAATCCTTTTCCAACGCTTTAAGCATATCCATCTTATGGTTACGAATACGCTCCACTCTTCAACAACAGTATAGAGAGAAATTATGTATAACAATAAATTACTGAAAGAAATTAGTAAAAAAATAAATAATCTTTGTTAACAAAGGTTCTGTAAACTTGTGAGGGTATAATACGGTTTTGACTAAATCTTAATCTTTTAGCAATACAACATCCTTAGCCAAGTATATATTGAGAATAGCATTCTCTCTCTCTGAAAACAGATACTCCAGTACAGGGTAGGTCGGGGACAGTCTTCGACATGTGCTCACTACGGTAGGTGTAGGAAAGAAATGCTGTTCTAACAGTATATACAGAATGAATCATTTTAAATTTAATTGACTAAAAGTTAAATTCTAACACCGAGAAATCGAAATGTGCACAACAGTGTGACCAACTTCACAGACAGCCTCACTCTCTCGACAGCAAGCTCAGAGGTGCCACCTCGACAACAAAAAATATGCTTGAATCCCGCGTTTTACGCTTTCAAATGGGAATACATACAAAGCGTAGTAAAACCTCATTTCACATGCTTTCACTTGGAAATATTACACCTATAACCGAGTTTTATCCTGCTTCTTATAGACTGAGTAAAATATTAAAAAGATATAAAAATTGGTATGAATAAAAAAATTAAGTTTCTTCTATCTGTCATTCAAAAGAACACATATTTCACAAAGAGAAATTTAGAAAAATAACTTTGAAACTTAGGATGCGGGCGTTGGTGACTAGATCGCTATCACAGGAAGTGTCGAGGTGGTGCCGAGAGAGGTGACCAGGCCAGCTGATCACGACATCGCCACAGACAGCCAGCTGTCAGCAGCCGCGCTCTCACACAACTGAAATCCGACTGTTAGTAGTTGGGTTGGGGCGTAGATGGATGACGTAAAAAATCGGGTCCAACGGAAACAACTGAATCTTCTTCCCGCCACGACAAATGAGAATTCTTGAATAGTAATCTGAAACAGGTGAAAAACGTTTTTATATGATGTGTTGCAGTAGAGTAAATACATAAAACGCTGCAGCAAGACTAAACACTTAAGATATGATAATGTGTTGTCAAAATTAACTTCTTTGTTAACAGTTAATTTTTTGAGATGGTGAGTATTATGGTATATTGTGGACATTCACAAACATTTGCACTTGCTTAAACCACCATATTGTAGAGCCTATTGTGTTGCAACTAGAGTCACTTACATGTATAGTGAGTTCATGAGTGTGCGCTGTTAGACTGGGCAGGGGCCGACGGTGGTGGCTGGGTGGGGGAAGGGGCAGACGGTGGGGGTTTCTCCTCAGACACAGGGGTCGGTGCTGCGTCCTTGCGCGGCGGCATGCGCTCGTTGATAGCATCCAGACCTTTAGCCTCTGCGAATGATGTGATCTTGTGGTTTGGAGAGAACCCTTGCAATGCTGAAATAATACAAAGAAATTTTAAGGGTGGTCAACAAATAAGAAATTAGTTACTTATGGTTGTTGGTAGTATTATCACTGAAGTTAGCGATAGCAATAAGCATTAACGACGCTAGCAAACAACACCAAGATCATTAAAGAATCTAGCGATAATTTCCCAATCGTCAGCAAGGCAACTATCAAAGACGCTGCATGAATATCACACATTTTTTATTGTTTTAAATTTCCTAAAATCTAGTTTAATGTTGAGAACTTCAAGGCTAGCAATATCTCGGACAAACTGTGGCAAAATCAGTGATACCACGAATGTAAACACAATTTGTAATGTTGGAAACAGTGGAGAATCTGGCAAAGGTTGATATGAGTTAATAAACAGTGGAAAATCTTTCAGTAATCTCCTGTGGGGTTGTGGCGACAGTGGTGCAACATCATAATTATTGAGCGAAATAGTCACGATGAAATCGTGAAAAGCTTCCAAGGCCATGAGAATATCTTCCGTGGTCACTGCAAAATCTTCCGTGGTCGAAGATGTATATCATATAGAAAAAATATAGACATTTACAAACAATTGCAGATTTTATTTTTTTTAATTTTCACAGACATTTTATACAATTTGAATCATCAAAGCTCGACACAGTCACAGCCTAATCCTGAAAATCTTGCGATGTTACAGTGAAATCAAGAGCATCTTTTACAGTAGAACAGAGAAATAGAGAACTAATTCTTTAAGAGACATCATTATCGTCTCCTGCGATCAGGTCAATTATTAAAAAGTCCACTTACTCCGAATTTCCCCTAATCTGAACAGGTTTCAGTCTCCGTTAGATCGGAATAATGGGACTCTAATGTATTACTTTTACTGCCTTGAATGATTGCATCAGTTGTGGTAATGCACGAAAACAGCGGAATATATAAATGTGAGATTACTTACCATTTTTCAGTGATGTCTTGCCACCAGAGAGGGCGCCGAGGGGCAGTGAGCCGGTGGGAGTCAGTCCCTTCAGCTGCAGTACACTTTCACTTTCCTCCCTAAAACAAAACCACATTTATAACCCTCGACATAACTCACATCTACCTAAGACTGTTCTTAGATTAGATTATATGTCTGGAGGATACTTTAATTACAATTGTTGAGGTGTTGAGTGGAGTAGGTGTTTCCTCGTGAGGCTGCAGAGCGTGTAATTTCATTAGAGAACTGATTGCACCTTCCCACATCAGTCACAAATTATACTTGTATCCACATTGTTTGTAAAAGTTGTTTGTAAAGTGTAGTGAGTGACTGTTACATATGCAATTACTTTCTCCATTATTTTATGCAAACAGGAGTGTTTACAACCAACCAACATACCTGAGTACGGAGAACACACGAGCCATCTTTCCAATAGCTCGGATCTTGTTGCGAATTACCTCTTTCCGCAAATTAGCTGCTGCACCTGTAAAAAACAGTCATCAAGTAACATGAACAAAACCACAAATGCAACCACACAGTACTGACAATCAAACCATTCACTAGGTAACACCGCGACAACAGGTTATTTACAATAGTAGTTAACAGACAAGTTCAAACTTTAAAATAAAAACAAAGAAAAACTACAAAATCAAACAAAATAAAATCGAGCGAAACTGAAATATAATAACTGCAAACACATAAAACATACAGCAGTACAGCAGCAACAACATCAAACGTTTTTGTAGAGTTTTCGTTAATTGAATCCCTTATTAAATCCTTGGATGGATATATATAAAATGATCATCTTAAAATGAATACTTTTAAAATATTGATAATTTACTATCAATTAAGTACATTATGTGAATATGCTAGTCTAGAAACACAGTGCAGCTATATACAAAGCCTTCTTAAACCATCGTCGATAATCCAACTACTTTTTTCAAGCCTTAAGCTTCTTGTTGCACAAAATAGCTTTAGCCAAGCAAAAATAACCTTAGAAAAACTTATGACGTTCTTACAAAATGAATGAAATAGTTATTCAAATAAATTGGTCTTCAAGATATCAAGAAATGAGTATTTCAAAAGTAAAATGATTTCAAGGATTCTTATTTTTTCTCAGTTTATGAAAATTCATGCTAGAGGAGCGTCTAACAATTTAAAATAATTTAAAAGTTTTTTTTTTGCAATCCAAAAATGTGTACAAGGTGATGGAGTTAAGTACCCTCTTATTATACCACCACTGCAGTGCTTAAGTTGGCATTCTGCACCTGTGCTCTTCACCGACTCTAATTTTAGTTGAACTTGTTTTTTCTTTCTATTAAGAAGACCAGTAATTTTACTAAAATGTTCCCTACAAATGCTCAAACTCCTGACTTTTCTCAAAGCCACATTTGACCAATCCCTCTCAAAAAATCCCATAAGCCAAAGCTCACAAAGAAAACTCTATAAATATGAAATGGATTGCAAAACGAATCTCTAACTTAAATCATTTGAAAGAGAACTAAATGTTCGTGTCTAATTGGCAAAATTACACTGGTTTGAAAATGTAGTCTGTTTTAAAGTTTTTTTTTTATAGTCTGATGAATAAAAACTATGCAACTTCATGTAACAAGAGCTTAAAACGCGTAAAATTATAATACTGTACATCTAACCGAATATGTATAGAATATATCCCCTAACCTAACCTTAATTTCAGTGATGTATTTTTTATTAAGACTGTTGATAACAGTTAGTAGATTACTACTAAATTACTACTAGGACACAGTCCTAAGATATTGGCCTTTACAGTTACATTTTTATCTAGGAAAGTTGCAATATCAGCTGACATCACAAACTTTACATTAAATTATTAAAAGTTTCGGTCAAGAGAGCCAAAGGGGAGTAAAGAGTGACTTCTCATAAGAAAGACTATTTTTTTTACTTTTTTTGTTTTGTTTTATATTTAAGGTAGACTTACAGCTCAAAATGAGTGAAACTGCTAGATTTCAAAATATGGCTTAAAGCCAGCAGTGTTTTGAAGGATTTGAACCCACGACTTCAGGGTAAAAGTCTCACGCTCGATCCATAAGAACAGCCTTGTTTAACTACATACATCGTAATGGTATGTTTCAAACAGGAATACTTTTTAGGTCTCATCAATTTTCATTAATTATTATTTCCCTGAAAACTGAGGTGCATTTTCTGCGCAGTCACTGGTAGGTTTTTAGCCTAGAAAAATTGTCTTGTTTTTACAAGTTCTGAACTGTAGGGTGAAAGTTTCAAATATTTTAAATAACGTTGATCAGTCTCCAAAATAATTAATCCAATGGGTGAACACGATCAACAAGTATTATGAAAAACATCTAGAACTCACAACTGGTTGTCTAAGGAGCAAATTCTAAAGAAACGTTAGCCTAACCTCCCTTTTGAGTTTTAAAACACATACTTCAATTGATCATAGTTTTGGTCACTAATACTCTTTCAGCAGAATTTTTGTCTACATTTTACCAACAAGATTTTCACCACGATACTATTTTCAAATACCCATTACACACCATGAACCCAGTATGGTTAGTGACATGTTCACAACACTCATGCTCTGTTAGTTGTTACACCACCCCAAGGCATTTGATGTAGTTACAATAAAGACGGAAGTGAGTTGAGTTTTGCTAGGCACTGGTTTGATTACAATTTTCAAATTAGGAAAACTGAAAGAACTCTGATACAAAGTAACAAAAACGCATAACTAAACGTTTAAAAAACTTCCTGTTAGTCTTGTAAAACATAAATCCTAATATTGTTGTACCATAAAAATTCAACCTTTTTTCATCAGGACCGATGGAACTTTGCTGACAAGTTTTGTAAACTCAGCGTGGCCATGATGTCATTATAACCTGAGCAAATATCTTTGATTTGAATTTATGGACAGCAGCGAACTATTGAATTTAACACAATAAAATATAGTTGAAACTATTTTAAAATATTAAATTTAAGAATGTATTGCAAAACCATGATCTTTTCACCTATTGCTACATTGAAAATCATTCCAATTGCCCAGTAAAACTGCAACTTTGCCCAATCTTGGATGTAACCGATCGGTAAGTATGATAAGCAACTGACAGACTACTAGAGCTATCGGAGCACACATCTACTGCGCTAACACCAACCAACGAGACTCACCAATCGTTGAACAGGGCGGACAGATCACCGTGGTCCACGGAAATAAAATGAAAAACAAAAAATAGAGAACATAAGAAAACAGTGCAATAATATTAAAAATACACAAATAGTGTAAACAACTGCCAATAGTGTAAACGCAACCTAAAAACATAAAACAGTAACAGGCAGTATAGATTGTACCAAAGTGCTTAACTTAAAGATAGAAATGTACCAAGAGATTTTGAAAAGTGAGAGAGCAAATGTAAGAAAACAAGATTGCTTGCTCAGTTCATTAGCTTAGTAACTAAAATTTAATAAAATATTCGATGAAAAGAGAACAGTTGCTAGAGAAGATAGAGGAGAATAAAATAACAAAGAGAAAAATTAGCTTGAAACACAATTTTAACTACATTACTCTACAATGTGGTAAAATATAAGGGAAAGATTTAAGTTTTTTTGAATTTGCATAAGAGTAATCAAAACCCATGTTATTGGTAACCCAATAATTTCCTTTAAAAATATATTCCATGAGTACATTTGTTCATCCAACATTTGAGATACATTTAAAAGAAATCTCAGTAATGTATGCAGACTGCAGAGTATACCAACACATCAAATGTTATTTTGTCTAAACATTTACCTACACATAGGGTTACTCCCAGATAAATATTGAGCCTTTGTAACATCTGTGACTTAATTATAACTCACTTGAATCCATGGAGCTGAAATATCAGTGCAATAGACTTCTAACTATCTGGCGTCTTTTACTTCCTTTTTTATTTTAAAGTTTGGTAAGCGTTTTTTTAAATTTTGGTTGCATTGTAAACAGCAACATGGTCAAAAGTAATTTTTTAAATTTTTATCAGAATAAAAACAGGTGCCAGATATTCTAGTAGTCTGATGCTAGCTGAATTATTAAATTGCAATTCACAAAAAAAAACATTTATCAACCCAGCAATTCAAAATGCATCGATCTTTACTGGATGCAAAGATAAGAAAAATTAATCAAATACATTTTAAAACTAAAATGTATGAAAGAAATAATTGAGTTTCCACCCAGTATTTTTTACCAGTAATTTACCGAAGGTAAAAAGGGATCTCTCAAAACCAAAACTGTTTGAAAACTTTTTAATAGGGGTTGGAAAATTGTTCATTACTACTGTTATAAATAATGGTTTAGTATAATGTTTCATAATATTTTGTTAATATATTCAACATAATAACAGATTGGACCATATATTTACGCAGTATGCACAATTGCTTATATCAAATTAAAAAATAATTTATTCACTAACTATACTAGTTTACTTTAATACTTGATTTAATAAACTTTTCACAGAACATCAGTAGTTACTTGCAAAACATGCAAGATACAATATATATTATGAATAATAATATTATGTTCAGTAATTCACCTCCGATATTAAACCAGCATTTTTTACATTTTAATTTAATTTAATTTTAGCACACACAGTATTAAAAAAATGTGAAATTTAAACTTCTCTTTATCTAAGAGATACTAATTTATATGAAAACTAAAAAATCAATTTGAAATTTTAATAATCAAATATTTACTTTAAGAGTGATTTTGGATTTGCTTGAATAATTATTCATTTGCTATTAAGCAGCAAATTAATCTACCTGGCGATTTGTTACGAACATGGGAAAAAATCTGAATATTACAAAAAAGACTAATTCAATATATTTTCTCAGCTTATGCTGGCCGAATTCATTGTTTTTAAAAAGCTACTAATTTTACTTCTAGTATAAAATTTAAGTGTATTTAATTGAATATGAATCAATGAATAAAAACAATCTACAGTTGAGACCTTTGACACAAGTATTACTGGTGCTTAAATGCATCAATCTACAGCATAATTTATTAGGTTTTTCATCTGACTGAGATGAAATGTTTTTTTATGATTTGAACAGTATATTCTCAATAACTGATTTATACTATTTAGGGCTATTTACACCAGAAATCCCATATTTGGAATTACTTGAAAATATAAAATTGTTTTGCATCTCGGCAGCTAACATGTAAACATTTGTTAACAAATATTTTAAGCAAATAAAACAATTTTTTGAAATAGGTGTTATTGATTACAAAATTATGCTGGTTTAAAGTCAGAATACTGTATATATAATTATGCACACAAATGCCATAAAAGAACGCAATTCAGCCACTCACAAACACTAACTATATAATATAATCAACTGAATAAAAACAAACACAACGAATTCAAACAAACTGGAACCAAACAAAATGCATGCTAAAAACTCATGCCAAAAGAAATAAATCAAACTAGACTCAAAAATCAACAACTTATCAATTTTGGTCAGACTCTGTTACAGTTTACATTGCATCTACAGCTTTAGAGCCTATTCAAAGATTAGCCAACTCTGCCAATAGAGAAATATTCAGGAGAAAAGAAATAATAAATCTGCAAAACTAGGAAATTTACAAAACCCAAGGGTCCAATCAATTAAAGACCAAGTAAAAAAACTTGAGGTTAATAATTTCATATTGATTTCCACAACTTCCTATGTTGTTTGCACTCAAAATTTTGTAAAACTTCCTACCTTCTATTCCAAACCCTACTCCAAAATTTGCTACATTTGTTAAAACTGTATATCCACTAAGATTGAATTGATTCTTAATAAACACACCAGGAAATTAACAAATAAAATAAATCCAAATCATAAAATGTATAACCCCTTTGGGCTCTAAACTAACTAAACAAACAAAACAAGTATTCTGACGGACTTACTACCTTCTATTCGTCCCGTGATACATGAAAAAATACATCATTACAGTTTTGTTTTAATTAACAAGAAAATATTTCACTACAATCATTGAGACATAAAAAACTGACAGGATAGAGGAAAAAACCATAACAAACATGGTTAAGCTGTGATATTTTAAGAACAAAATTGCTCAAAATACACAGTTTAACTATTTATTTGGTATTTATGCTTATGACTGACAACTTTTATTCTTTAAACGTGTGGTTGTGAAATAATAAATTTAAAATGATGAAAGGAACACTGTCACCTATAGTTTAAACTGGCAAAAATTAAAATAAACAGAATGAGTTGGTGATCCACAATATGTATGAAAAGTTTAAATAAACAAAGGAAAAGATCAATACTTTCCTACTATTGTCTAAAGTAGGTTATATACAATAGAAAAATTAAATATCTGGCCTTAAGAAATCTCAACTTAATAGGATAAAATTTCTATACAACAATATGCAGGGAAAATTGTGAACACATTATATGATCGCTAATTCTGTCCAATTTTGATACTTCAAGTGAATCCTATCTTTAAAAAAATTGAAACGATTGATGCTAAACTAAAGTAACGGAAAACAAAAAAAAAAAAAAACAATAAAATGGAAAAATTATGTTTAAACTTAGACGGGATAACGTAAATGATCACAATGCTATAAGGTTGAGGGTTAGATTCAGGGAATAATTTGTTTATCCAAATAAACTCTATGAAATGTTAATTTAGTCTATTACCTCTGATTTACAGAAAAATAAAAAATGGCATGAGGATCTAAAAAGTGATTAAAGTAGTAACCCTTGAAGAAAGGTAAAATAGAAGCTAATAAGTGGTCAAACTACACAAATGCAATAGAAAAGAGAGTAAAGTTAGCAAACTACAGCTTTTAACTTGTTAAACGCAGCCTCTAGAATTACTCTATTTGGGAAATTCAAACGGGCATATATTGTGTTAGTCGAACATAAATCAGAGAAAACTAAAAACAAATTATTCGTAAACAGAATGAAGAATACAAAATTCAAAACAACTGGAAAAAAAAACTAAATGAAAACCAATTAAACCAAACTTAGTAAGAGGAGGAAAATTAACTTACCATTCTTTTGTTTAATTATTACTTTGGCTGATGTCGCACGGATAGGCCAAGGCATGGCAATAGAGAGAGAGAAAGAAAGGGAATAAAAGTGCATGTCAGAATGTGCATTTCAAGAAGATAAGTTATCGGGCTATTAAAAAAATAAACTTAAAATAGCCCTAATACCCTTGACTGGTTTAGATTGCACATACAATCAATTCTTTATTTAGTTTAAAATGTAAATAAATTTGCCATAAAAATGTTTAAGGGCATAGAGGAAGAGGAGAGTATTATTATAATCGAGGTTTCAAAGATGGTGCAAGGTGTAAAATACTAGCCTAAACATGACATTCTCGGTCACCTAGAACTCATAGATTCTATCTCATTGCTTCAACTGGAGGCGGGATACTGTATGTAAATATACAAAACTCAGGTATTATCATCTAAAGCTGTTTCCATGACCTATTCTAATTGTTACATCGAGTCAACACTTTTGCAATCTAAATTTCAAGCGAGCAAAATAATCAGAAAAACGTAAATAATGAAAATAAGACAGATGAAAGTAAATGGAAAACAATAAAATGACATACATAACTTCTACTGACAACATAAAACTTTTGACCAAAACCACTACGCCAGATTATGCTTTACACAAATACTCAAATGAAACTTGTCTTATAAAAAATCACACTGATGATGAACAAAATATGAAATTGATGAATCACAAAAACTGTAAAGACGCAATCTAACTGAAACAAGCACGACACAGGACTTGGACTAATTCTGCGGGTAAGGACAAGGAAACTGGTGCCCTCGGCATTGAACAAGTGGAATCAGGTGAAACCATAAAAGTGATTATTGTATTAAACAATTATAATAAAGGCATTTAAATCAGTTACTACAATGGTCAGTAACACTTGTTCGAAAACTCATTCATTACAATAGAAAAATATCCTCAATGTCATTATTGTAATTAAGTTAATTTTTTCTTCAGAAACATAATATTCTTTAAGTGCAACTATACAAAACATCTCACATTTTTTTTATTTATAAAAAATATCTGGAGAGGCTAAATTATAAAAGGTATAACATTACCTGAGTACTGCCAGAGTGATCCTGTTGGTCCTTACGGATTACGTGTTTCGAGGAGCTTAGGTCCTCATCATCAGATCTCGTATAAGAAACACATCTATCACTTAGAAACGCGTAATCCATAAGGACTAACAGGATCACTCTGGCAGTACTCAGGTAATTTTATACCTTTTATAGTTTTTTCTGTGATCCACAGACAAAACAACTCAAAATATAAGGTTAAATTACCAGTAATTTGAGTTTAAATTTTTGAGAGCAAATTAGTTAGGAGCCACACTAAATAGTCCTAAATTGGTCACAATATTTTTTAAACAAATAATAACATTTTGCAGGAGTTTAAGATCCGTGAGACACCAGAGGAGATATTTACAGACAAGTGACAGGGGCACTAGACAACTACGAAAAGTCTAACGTAACGTTGATCTAAGCAGTTCTTACCATCTGTGTCACGGCGGCACGCCATGGAAAGAGGTTGAGAAAAGAAGAGAAAGAAAACAAAGATAGAGAAAACGCATTATCAATAATTCAAATCGCTTAAGTGTACTAACAAACAACATGTAAATATACATTGTAAGTTTTTAAGCAGTTAATACATTCTTTTTTTCATTTTATTCATCAACAATGAGGACCATAACTAATAATTTGTTTACAAATGTTCTTAAACATTGACAAAAAAAACTTTACATTCAATCAATTTACAAGATATTACCAAAAGTGGTAGTAATATAATGTTTAAATGAGAGATTTCACATAGTTTATTTTTTATTTATTTTAAGAGTAATGTGTTCCTAGTTTAATTTTATAAATTTGAAAGAAACCGTTCTTGAATTTTACATTGAGTGAAATAAAATAAAATTTTTATAAAATTTGACTTCATCAACTGCAAAACCCTACTCAGAATTACGTATGATGATTGTTTTTATGTTGTATTGAAAAAAGTTACTACTTTAAAATAATTAAGCTTAGGGTGATCTGAACTGGTTCATTTCCACAACTAAACATAATGTAGTAAATTCAAAACTAATCTAAAGACTTTTTGGCATTTAAGTGCCAATAGAAGACTGTTCTCATTTATATAATGAGTATTGAGAGATGTAAATTTATGTTATTTTTCAGAGTTTCTCTAAATGTATGAAGCATAGCAATTTTAAAGGATTTCCATTTAAAAAATTGACCACAGTATTGCCTACAATGTTTATGTACAAGCTCTGCTGTACTTAAAAATAAAATAAGTTACATCTTGTTTGGCGAAAGCTTAAGTCCTATTTTAAAGTTTAAATTCATATATTATCATCTTTACATTTTATATAAACTCTCTAATTGCACTCGCCAAATTCAGACCACCCTTTTTCATGCACACCTGTAACTCTTACAAGCATAATTGTGCTAGGCCAAACTCGTTTTGTAAGTTTGGAAATACTCCGCATTAGCAAATAGATAACCAGCGGTGACATAAACAAAGCCAAAATTATTTGCTCAATTTTAAAATTGGATACTTTTTGGTGCACTTACCTAATTGTAATGAAAATCAAGCAAAATGCTTCAAAATTTACAGTAACAAATTTAAACAAAGATAATTATTGAAAAGTGTAACATTTCACAAATCTATTTAATAGATTATAAAAATTAGTAAAATATGATTTTGAATACTTTACCTCAACAGAGTGTTGTTTTTTTAACTACGGTACTTTATAAAAAAAGGGATTATCTATAGACAAATGTTTACTTACCACTGAAAAGACATTTAACTAATACAAGTGCTTGGTTTAGGATAGTATGATAAATAAAATGTTATTTTTATTGTTAGAATATTCTGGAAATATATTAAGTTTTGAATGTTACCATCAAAACATTTTTATAAAGAACTGTCATTAAAAATGTGAATTAATATATTTAACCTCCAAATTTATTTTTTTAATAATTAAAGATATTTTTTTAAATAGAAACTACGATTAGTTATTTTTCAAATCAGACTCAATATAAACACTAGGAAACAAATTTTGATTTATGAATCCGTTTAGTCCATCTTCCTAGTTTATTTTACAACAGGAGATTATGACAGTATAGGGGAAGAAAATTGATTTGTTGTTTCAAAAATCATACCCTCGACCTAAAATAAATATGTGTAGTATTGTCATTGAGAAATTTAGTATGGAATAGTATTTAGCATATGAATTACGCACCAATTGAAACAGTTACTCACATTTACACGAAAGGTGTAAGATTTGTAACCTACAAAAACTATTATTTTCAAGTCCTTGGATTGGAACCACATCAAGAGTGCATAATGTTGCTGAATTATTTAATACTCAGGAGTTTGTGTTTTATTCATTTTTAAGTTTGAATTATTATTTTTCATCAATTCATACAGATGCCAAATATGTTAACTTATTTACATGTAATTTTCCAATAAATAAATCAAACAGCAGTTCAAGATCTACAAACTACTGAAAACCTAAACACTCGCTCATTATGATCCCTAAAAGTTCGGACACACATGTGTTAGTGGGCTTTGACTGTTAGTAAGCGATTCTGTACAAACACTGAAGTTTTTACAACATTTAACGAACAGCCAAGTTAAAAATATTCTTTACAGTAGAATTTCTGTGGTTAACCAATTTACGCCTGTTGAGTTTCACGTTAAAGTAATTATTAACATATAAGCTGTTGACTCATTTTACATGACCATTTTGTTAAACAATTAATAAAATATAATTCACATATTATATATATATAGATATTTATTACACATTAATGTGAATTGTTTAGCTACAAAATAAAATTATATTTTGTATAGTACATTTAATCTATAACCTAAAACCTTCAAAGTAATTATCAGATAAGGGTTAAATTTAGGGTTGGCATTAGTTAAACTCAGTATCTGTTTAATGATTGTTTTAAGACATTTGATCAAAGCAGCCCATGTGCTCTGATAAAATCCTACATTAAAGTTTTTAATTTTTATCTAGTATATATTAAAATCCATAGCCTACTCTCTATTTAAATCTTACAAAACTAAGCAGTATAGAAAGAATATATATCATTTTTTATCCTCCAATTGCTACCTTTATTGATTTATATTTACCATAATATAATCTAGACATTTATAATATACTTTCTATTTACTAATATTTGTTTAATTTGTATTCTATGATTTTAAAACAACAGAAAGAATGGATATCAGACTAACTCATGTAAGAAAGAGATACAAATTGGTGACGGGCAAGTAACGCCTTAAATATTCCTCTTTGTAGGGCCTCTTGAGAATTGAAATACAAAATGTACACTTTCTTCATAAAGTTAGTTAATGGTTTTACCCAGGAGCCTCAAAATCAAGACAATCATACATTTAAACATCTTAAGATCTTTATCTAAGTTTGATTTAAAAATTAAGAGTAAAATTAATTCAAAAAAAGTTTAACAAGCTCCTTGTATCATAAGTCTCCTTATAGAGGTTCCGATATACATCCTTTCCTTCTTCCTAAGAATAAACCCTGAGTGTATTTTTTGAAAGTTTACTGAAAAGAATTTAAAACTATGAATTGCATTTATTAACCAATATGCAGTATACACAGGAATCAAATACGCACCTTCTTCTAGAGCGTCGTCGCCGTCAGACATGAGTTCATCATCGGAACAAATGTTGAGTACATTCACCAGCATCTCCGTCACTAGAACAAAATGTTATTCCATCACTTCTGGAGCCAGTAACGAGCAATGCCTGAAAGACAATAGACACTTTATTACAGCTGAGGTTCCCTAGGAAACCATTATCGGCCTAACTTTTTTTTCTCATGTTATATTACTATCAGTTGTAACTTAAAACTAGTAAATAATGTTGGGTAAATAAGCTAGAATTCTGTAGTGGGAATAGAATGTTGGTTCCAAGAATACTGGAGCTACTCAATAAATGTCTGTCAGGAAAACACCTTGTTCAAGTTGGGGTTCGTCAAGGATCTGGTTTGGGATCCGTTCTTTTATACCATTTGTGAATTACACTTGTATATATTGGAGCAAATATTGAATAGCTTATTTGGTGCAAGATTGTTGGATATAGATAGGGTTTACTAGACAAGCTACGTACCTTTCTCCCCAACGAAGGGCAGAGACCAGGTGAAGACGTCCATGAAGTTGGGCAGCCAGTAGGGGTGAGGGGAGCAGTTGAACTGACGAATGTTCATCACGTTGTTCTCATACTTCAGCACAGCAGCCTACAACACAAATATACCATATCAAGTCATATTCTGTTCAAATAAAAAGATAAATTAAAAAATTAAAATACGGGTTCAGTAAATATTTGTCCAGAAAATCTAGGATATTTTCAGGATATGTATATCTTAATGGCTATGAACTAACATAAATTTGTATTCAATACAAAAAAATACAAAAACTACCATCCAATGGTTAAGAAGTGTATTAAGAAGCTACTGCGAGCTAAAAATATAAAATATTTTTTTATTTTAAATATTTCTTTTTACTTCACCCAATCATCAAAATTACCTTTTTAGTGTTTTTTTTTTATGTTTCAGTTACTCACTTTTAAGGTTTCCGTTATAGGAAAAGTATATTTGACCAGTGATATAACTTAAGGTAATAATATTCATTTGCATGAAAAAATTAAGGTATACTTGGATTCAGGACTCAAAAAAACAAAACAAAAATCTTATGTGGTGGTACATATACCCAACAATTACTAATGAAATGTTTAATCAAACAATATGGGTATTTATGCACGTAAAAATGTTTCACGGGACAAACCTCAGGATGGACCTTAGTTAAATCTTTGTATGAAGTGTTATTTACCTTATTATTGTATACATCCAGATAATTTGGTGCTGAGAAAATAGTGATGAGAGACGGAAAGCCTGTCGTTTGACTTTTCCTGTACATTCGATATCTGAAAATAAAGAAATTACAATAATAATTATAATATTGTACTTAAGAATAACATCCAAACAAATGGGTTTTTACTAAGTTTACAGAGAAGAGGATGGCTGTTAACCATTTGTTAGACCCAATCCTCTTAATTTTATCCAGAGCAGCATTGGAGAAAACCTCAGGACAATTATTAAACGTAATACACACAGGAAAACATTCAAATCTGAATAATTACCCAGCATCCTGTGCTTCATGAGCCCTTATTATGGACAGCAAGTTATTATTCTGGAGAAAATCACAGCAAGCAGCATAACTGCAACATAAAAATACATTGGTTACATTTTATAACAAATAAATGAGCAAATTATCTGAACAAGGAATCATTGGTCCTTAGGAGCTTCTAATTCTTCTAAACAACCTTATCATGACTAACACGAATTAAATATTTCCCCAAACGATTAACCGCATTTGCATTATTATTCATGGGAGATTGATGACCACCAACCTGTACTAATTAAAAGTAAAGTTTAGCTACTAAGGGGCTTAACACATTGAGGATTAGTAAGAGTTTAATTAACCAAGGACCTTGTAGGATATTATACGGAGCATTAGTTAGCATTATCTAGTTCACACTTCACAGAGTTGTAAAAATAATACTTTAAAAATTAAAACAATCTCATTATTTTTAAGTAAAAAAAGAGAAAGTAAATACAAAATGTTATAAATTATGACAGGAGGAGAGTGTATGATAATTGTTTAACTAACTAAAAAAGGAGAGTTCATTGGGTATTGAGTTATTAAAAATATTAAAATATAACTGGTCAAGTAAAATCCTACTAGAAGAAAGTTAAGAATTGAACTAGGAAAATGAAATGAAATGGACCTCATCAAACGATAAAATATTTCCATACATATAATGATTAGGCTAAAGTTTATCGGTTCATGATGAAATCAGATAGCATTTGTGCAAAGAGCAAACAAAACCATATATTTTAATGTGATGAGGATGTGTGTTAAAATAATGTGATGAAAGTCCTGAATTCTAAGCTGGCTCTTTAGCCATCATCATCCACTTAGCTTATGGACAGCTGGGTTAAGTTTCAAATCATTGTGACCTTGTAAAATGTGGCTTGGTTCAAATTTTACTGACAAAAGACTTAGTCAACAAAATTTTTAGTCAAAAAATTTTGCTGCGGTCATTCAGATTCTTCACCCTTTTAGCTAACTGAATTGTCCAGACTACTACCAATTGTAGTTCTTGAGGCCCCATGCCAATAGCAAAACCTGATGTCAGTGAAATTAATCAGGCCATACAGTCAGTAATGCAATTACGCATCACCGTGTGCACTGGTACAACCAGAAACCAAGTACGTCATAATACATGATGTGGTAACCTAATTAAATTGCTACTTATGCTAGTTCAAGAAAGGGTGATTGACTTTCCTAGCTGTCATACATCAATTCTCGGAACATATTATATCCCAGATTATCAAAACTATCACAGAACTATTAGTCTTTTTAAGACCAAACCAGTTCTTCTATTTGTTGGGTGAGCACTATGACGACTCAGCACACAAATTATGCTATTCTAATTATTGTGTTGCAAAGTAATTATTGTATTGCAAAGCTATTGTAATTATGCAACTGCTCGGACAGCATGAATTATGTTGGACCTAAACACTGCGCTGTCTTTTAGGAAGAGTGTAAAATGCCAGAATACAATTACAGGATATAATAGTAGGATAAAATGACAGGATATGAGGGTGGTATACAATGACAGTTAATGGTAGGATATAATTGGCTAACTAACTCAATTGTAGGTACCCCTAGAAAGACTACTGAAGTATGTGAGGCAAAAACACCTATTATTTGCTGAAATACAAATATCCAGGATACAAATCTGTAAAGCCACCTCTCAAGAGTTAATGAACAATTTTTATGAGTTCCAACCCTAAGGATTTTCTGCACTTTATTTCACAACTGGATGGATAGGTGAGCGCTTGCCTAATACTAAAAAGGTTGCCAGTTTGAGAAGCGCTTGTTGCCTATTTTCTGATAGTTTTGACACTGGACCCAACTTTGATCTTTGAGCTTTTAAAGAACAGCCCTGTCTAAAGCAATAGCTGGTCTAAGTGAGCAACAAAGTTACATAGATCATCCCAACTTCCAACACTCACGCTGCATGCATCCTAAAATACATACCTGAGTATGTGTCACCATACTAACTCAGTGACAAAGTGATGAATGAATGATTTTAGCATTGGTGCCTGGTTATGACTTGTACACTTTAAGTATTGCATAATTTTCAACTTGTATGAAGAAAGATTTTGATTTTCTCAATTATAATCTCCATTTAGATATTTGTTGACAAATTGAGCTCAAATTAAGCTTCATAGACTGACCTGTAGAAGTAGGAGCAGCCCCGTACACTGTTGTGACTGAAATGTTCCGCGTTTTTCTCGTTGCCAAAGTCCTCAAGGGGATCGGACCACAGCAGGTCACACATCGGTCCAAACGCCGGGGGCTCCTTGAACCGATCCAGCTGAAACAGGTTAAAAACCGTTAGGAACCAAGTTTGCAAAAATCACACACTTATGTAATTATACGTACAACCATTTTTTTAAGTAGCCTTTTCAGTTCAGTTCTTAGAATTTAAAAGTTTCTCCTAACAGCATTGTTTACTTTCTGTTATAAACCAGAAGAGATATTGTTTTGTTTATTATATAATCAACGGTAGTAACCATATTACATATAGTACCTATACATATTGGCAAGTTATTATCAAGAAGGCCATGAGGAAGACGCGGAGAATAGGCGAAGAGGACCGGCTCGCTGTCTTGGAAATTCTACAAGTGAGTACGGATCGCCATTTTTACTATCACTTTTTCTAAGTCCAATTAGCCTAGAAATTATCAAGTTAAATGCATTTACATTAACTGGCGACGAGTGTAAATTAAAGTATTTTACTTTGTGCGCGTGTGAAAGTCTTTTATTCGATTTACAAGAGAAAATTAAATTGTGTTCGACCAAAAGGAGTTTGGTCCAAACAGGCAAAGACGCCTTGCAGGAAAAATCTGGTCGAAAAAGAAGGAAAATTTTGATTTTTACTGGAATTCAAGCATTATTCCGAAGCTAAAAGTATTTTATATTTTGGAGAAAGGTATTTGGTTGTATATAAGTCTATTTTTTCCCAACTAGTTGGTTTTGTGATGGAGTAATGAACTTTTTAAAACTTCCATACTCACGTCTAGGGTTGCCCCTTTTTAGGCCTAGGCCTATTGTCTTACTTCAGACACCATATGATAATCACGAAAAATGGCTTCGAAACAAATACTAGGGAAAATACAAGAGTTCAATAAAGACCAGGAGTCTTTTGAAAATTATATTGAAAGATTACAATTTTTCTTTAAAGTAAACTCAATTGAGGACAATGCTAAAGTTCCCCTTTTTATCTCCCTTATGGGACCAGATCTTTATAGCACGCTTAAAAATCTTTTATTGCCAAAGAAACCCGGTGAGGTTACATTTGACGTCATTGTTACGACTTTAACTTCATTCTTTTTGCCTAAGAAAAATAAGGCCTATGAACGTTTTGTCTTTAATAAGTGTGCACAGAAGGAGGGGGAGGCGGTGTCAGAGTTTGCCGTACAGCTAAAAAAACTTGCGTCCACCTGCGACTTCAAGGAGTTCTTGGATGATGCTCTCAGGGATAGGTTTTTGTGTGGCCTTCGTTCAAACGAGATTCAGAGTAGGCTATTATCCGAAGGTGATACTCTTACCTTTGACAAGGCATTACAGTTAGCCCTAGTTTTAGAAGATGCTTCTCGTAGTGTAAGGAGTTTGCACCCAGATTTATCAGACCGCACCATTTCTGAAATTAATTTTGTAAAGGCTCAGAGGCCTAGAGACCAATCAGGGGGGTTCAATCACAACTACAAAGGTCAACGCCAGAGATCGTGTTATTGCTGCGGGAAAAACCATGATTTTAAGAATTGTTTTTACAAGGATTTTATCTGTCATAACTGTAATAAGAAGGGGCATTTGTCCAAAATGTGTAGGCAGCCTTCAAGTAGACCTTTGGTAAAGGGCAAAATAAATCTCTGTTCGGAGAGCGATGAAGATGAATTAGCGGGAACTAAGTCGGCTACTGCGCCGGAATATGAGTTGTATAGTATAGGCCTAGCCTACACTGGTAGTAGTCATGGTTCAACACCTAAGAATTCTTTTACCGTAGAAATGTTAATCAATAGTTTACCTATCAAAATGCTTATTGACACTGGAGCAGTGGTTAGCATAATGCCAGAAGATGTTTTTGTTAATACCTTTAAGGAGGATAGGCCTAAGTTAACGAAAAGCAACATTTACCTTAAGACTTATACTGGACAGCGTTTAAGTGTTCTGGGCGAGTTTCAGGCGAGAGTCACAAATAATGACACAACGTTAGATCTGCCGATGGTGATCATCCGAAGCGAAACTCCAAACCAACCAGTGTTACTAGGCAGGAACTGGCTTAACAGGATCAAATTGGACTGGGGAAAACTGGTCAAGGATAATAACCTAGATGGAAGACAAGTGAAGGACAAGGACATGGTGGGCGTTGTAAACGGTAAGAATTTTCCAATAGATTCTACCGTAAGGAGTTTGAAGGAAACTTTTGCACCTGTTTTTGAAGTAGGTGTAGGGACTATAAAGGGAACAGAAGTAGAATTGGTTCTGAAAGAGAATGCTAAACCAATATTTTGTAAAGCTCGTAACATTCCGTTTGCCTTAAGAGGGGCTGTTGAGAAGGAAATCGAAAAACTTGTGGAAAATGAAGTAATCTATCCAGTTACGCAAACTGAGTGGAGTACACCAATTGTGGTGGTAGGGAAACCTAACAATGAAGTAAGAATATGTTGTGATTTTAAGGTTACATTGAACCCCTGGTTGAGAACCGATCATTATCCACTACCGACAACCGAGGATATTTTCTCAAACATATCCGGTGCAAAAGTTTTCACAAAAATTGATTTGAGTTCAGCATATAATCAAATCTGTGTTAGTCCAAGCTCTCAAGAGCTATTGACAATTAATACACCTAAGGGTTTATTCAGATATAAGAGACTCCCTTTTGGGATAACAAGTGCTGGCGCAATTTTCCAGTCAGTTATGGATAAAATTCTAGCAGGGATTGAAAATGTACACTGTTACCTGGATGATATCCTTATTACTTCTCAGTCTTTTGAAGATATGTACGAAAAGGTTAAGGAGGTTTTGTCCCGATTGCAACAGTACGGAGTGCGAATTAACGCAGGGAAAAGTGAATTTTTTAGGGACAGTCTTACATTTTTGGGACATCGTCTGGATGCAAGGGGAATATACCCCAGTGAGGAATTAACAGCAGATATTGTTAAGGCTCCTAGGCCAACCGATCTAACCCAACTGCGGTCATACATAGGCTTATTAAACTACTACGGGAAATTTCTCCCAAATTTGTCTACTCTGCTACACCCTTTATACAGCTTGTTAAACAAGGGGGTCAAGTGGTCCTGGTCGGAAGAGTGTGAAAGAGCATTTCAAAAGAGTAAAGAGCTCCTTTTGACAAACAAGGTTCTCATACCCTTCAATCCGAAACTAGACATAGTTGTCATGGCGGATGCTAGTCCATATGGAGTAGGGGGGGTAATCTCACATCGGCTTCCTGACGGGTCCGAAAAACCCATAGCCTTTGGATCAAGAACACTATCAGTACATGAGGCTCGATACTCACAAATAGAGAAGGAAGCGCTCGCTTTAGTATTTGTTGTAAAAAAATTTCATACCTTCTTGTACGGTAGACGTTTTATCTTAGCAACGGATCACCGTCCTTTGACCTTTTTGCTTGGTCATAACAAGTCAATCCCTACTTTAGCAGCCGCCCGGATTCAGAGATGGGCTCTGACCCTAGCAGCTTATGATTACGAGCTGGTTTACCGAAAAGGTTCTGATATGTGTAATGCAGATGCAATGTCAAGACTGCCCTGTAATGTTGATTGCAACCCAGATGAAGTCGTAGCTTTCTTTTCTTCCATTGATGAAATGCCTATAACCTTCAAGGAGATTAGTCTCGCCACCCGCCACGACCCCGTCTTGTCTAAGGTGTTGGACTATACGTTGAATGGGTGGCCTAGCTATAACAACAGCCCCCAATTGAAGCCATATTTCTCAAGGTCTACCGAATTGTCTGTTGAGCAGGATTGCTTACTCTGGGGAAGGAGAGTTGTGATACCGGCGCCGCATCGGAAGGAAGTTTTGGCACTCTTGCATAAGGAACATCCAGGGGAAAGTCGAATGAAAAATCTGGCCCGCAGTTACGTGTGGTGGCCCAACATGGATAATGACCTAGAGGAGATGGTTAAAAATTGTTTTATTTGTCAGTCCACTCGGAATTCGTTGCAGTTGGCCCCGTTACAACAGTGGTCGTGGCCCAAGCATTGCTGGCAGCGCATACACATTGATTTTGCCTCATTCCACAATAAGGAGTTTTTGATTATTATTGATAGCTTTTCAAAATGGATGGAGGTTTTCTACATGACGTCAATCACGTCAGCCAAGACAATCGAGAAACTCAGGACTTGTTTTTCTGCCTACGGTCTTCCGTCAACTTTGGTATCAGATGGTGGCCCTCAACTTAATTCAAAAGAGTTTGATGATTTTTTGAAAGCCAATGCTATCCTTCATGTGGTCACCCCACCGTACCACCCAGCTTCGAACGGCCTTGCTGAACGAGCGGTACAGACTACCAAAAAATCTTTTATCCGTCAGCTTTTACATGATGAGAAGTCCGGAGAACCTCGGGCTTTACAACATCGCATTGACAGTTTCCTCTTCGCCTATCGAAATACTCCGCATTCGACCACAGGAAGTACCCCAGCAGAGTTATTCTTACGATTTGTACCAAGAAATCATTTGAGCTTGTTAAAACCCCACCTCGCTCGTTCAGTTGATGAAAAACAGTTGAAAATGGAAGAAGCGGCTAATAAGAGAAGAGGCAAATTCAGATCATTTGTAGTAGGGGAGGAAGTATATGTTAAAAGCGTAAGACAGGAATCTTTAAACTGGATGCCAGGACAGGTTGTTAAGGTAGTGAGTCAAGTGACTTATTTAGTGAAGGTACAAGGCCGTACTCGCTTTGTTCATGCTGACCACTTGTGTCCTAAATTTGGAACAAATGTCGAAGAAGAAACCCTTATGACATTACCTACACCAGTTTCCCCAGGAAGGCCTAAGACTAGCCCGGGTATTAATAAAACAGTAGAGGAGATGAAGGATGGTTGCGAGATGGATCAACCTATAATTCAAGACGAAGTACATGAACCTGACCCAGTGAAGACAGTAAAAACCCCAAGCCCCGGAGGACCTCTTCGCCGTTCTCAGCGTGAGAGAAAACCTCCAAGGAAACTCGATCTTTAATCGAAGTAAATAAGTTCCCTCCAAGAAGAATTAAGTATTTTATGTTCATGAAGAAGTTTTAATTTTTGTTTTTATTTTGAGAAGATATATTGATTGTTTTATCCTTTTATG